ATACCCATGTAATGGATTGACCCAAGAATATCACCAAGCCCAGGAATGAATGGACATCCTCAAGCTTTGAAATGAATGGAAAAATATTGAGCACCAAAATGACCAAAATGCCTTGTGGTCTAGACTAAGTAAATGTCTTGGGTTAATTAAGGAATTCAAATAAACATAGGTGTTGTATTACCCTTAAAAGTTATGGAACACAACTTAAGTGAGTAGATCAACCCTAATGTTATGTCAATACATGAATGGCATAGATATCAATTGAATGTGTGTTTGTCTTCTCAAGTTTGGATCAATGATAATTCTGAAAGTACTTAGCTCAGCTCAACTCTAGAGCGCATTCGGTACTAAGAAGTGGATATGCGTGAGACAAATCAACCACGAATACCAGAATAACTAAATTAAACTGAATGGAAGTACAATATGTATCCAAAATTTAGAAACGTCTGAATTACTCTGGAAAACTCTAAAGTAACCGGGATAGACTTGATTGCTAAATGAACTAAGTAACTTCAATGACTGAGGATTTAATAAGTGATTTGGATGATTATGGAAACACTGTTGAACTTACATGATGAATTGTCATTATTGGTCATGAACCACGAATCAATTACGTCAGTATTTCCTGATATCGTTGAAACGTGGAAATAAAATAAAGACCATTGGAAGATATATTCAGCGATGATTACGAAGATGATTTATGGACAAGAATTGTTAGTATTAAAGAGTGAATACCCTGGAAAGGCAACAAATTGATGGGTTGATATGCATTAGTTCCGAGAGTTGTTCAGTTCGAATTGTTCGATAAACAGATCGATCAACATGGATTGTAAATGTCTTGAATCTCCATTTCTCCTTTATTAGCTTAAATCACTCCGGTCATTCCTGAACACTTTCCTGATGCACATGAAAACATAGTGGGATTCTAAAGTATCAACCTTAAATGTCTGATTAGATCGGTTAGTAATTGATTCTCTTCAATATGACCTTGTTCCTGGAATCTGATCAAATTACACAAGTTTCATGTTATTCATACTGATAACTACAAAATGCCTCTAAAAAATACTTGGATTCTCTAGTGTGTTTCATATGTACTACATGACGGTTTTATATGTTTTAAAATAAGTTTTAAAGAAATTATTGATTTACTGGTTTGTGAACCATGACAACATGATATATGATCTCCGATTATGGTTTTCATTGAAAAATATGATTTTTTCCTGATTTATAGAATCATGGAAACTACTTGTTTATGAACTATGGTTTTATGTTTCATTGGTTATACTCGAACTGTTTTATTGGGATATTATATGGGTAGACTGGAGGTACAACTCTGATAAAGCTGGAAATTTCTTACGGACCTAAAGGGATCCTTGGGTAGGCTCTCAGGCCCCAAAGTATTCCCTTGGGTTAATCATTTGACTACTTATGGTGTACAGGTGGAAATTGGTTATATGATTTATTTCATTATCACGGTTATGACATATTACTGGATCACGATTTACGGCTAAACTGATTTCTACTGGATTTTTATATGGATAGGATTCTGAAGTATGAAGGCATTGCTCTGATCCAGCTGGTAAGACCTTACGGACCTAAGGATACCCTTGGGTAGGCCCATAGGCCCCAATGAATATCCTTAGGTTGGTTTCCTTTGTTGTGTGCTTAGGGTGACCCTACGGATCTAAGGATACCCTTGGGTAGGCCTATAGGCCCCAAGGAATATCCTTAGGTTGGCTCCCTTTTGCTATGTACTTAGGGTAAGCCCTACAGATGCAACTGCATAATGGAGTTTGGTTGGGGTTCAACTATGGTTTTAAAAAATATATATATTTTCAATGGTTTTGATTGGAACACACTAGACATCCTATTCGATCTCATGAAAATGTCATACTATGAATGCTTCCTATGACCTAAGATCTTTATGGCTTCTACTTGATAAACTACCAGTGGAACCCCAAACTATCCCAAAAATCGGTATACGTCTGATTCAATAAGGAAATTATATGGCTTTATATTTATTTGCATATTCTGTAGCATCACCCGATAGTTCTGTATTACTGAGCTTTCCGAAGCTCACTCTATTACTCACCGTTGTAGGTTAAAAGAATTGTACCAGTGCGGCTATCGACATCAATAAGGGAGTTCTTCCGGCGTTGCTTGCAGAATATGGTATATGTGATTAGGGGGCATGAAATTGTATTTTGTTTTATATACGAGTCTGAAAATTTGGTATATTTATGAATATTGATAAATCATTTTATGAGTTTACATGTTTAATAAATGTTTTAAATTTTTCGTTATTTTTACGGTGGGTCGCTCAGTGACCCTAATGTGACATCCTAGATCAGATCGGGTTACCCTCATCGGTCTGAGTGGTTACAACATGATTGGTTCCTCAAACTTCAAAAATTGGCTCACCACGATTCATTCTAGCTCCGCCATACGATTTATTCTCACTAATTCCGAAGCCCATAAAAGGAAACAATGAAATTTGCCTCAATCTCCGCAATTAAACAAATTTGATCAGAATAGCTTCAAGGGATCTCGATCGATGGCAAGTTGTGCTAGAAAATCAAGGGGGGAATAAACTTTTTCTGTGTAATTCGTAGCCAAAAGTATAGTCAATTGAAAATATGCAGGGTGTTTGAGATTATTGTTATGACGGATTTCTCCCTCTCTCTCTCTTTTAGTTAGAAAAGCCGAGAAAGCCTTTGAAACCCACAAAACAAAGTGAGCTCATGCTCTGCAGTTTGTCCCCCTTGGACCTTATTTCCAATTGTATTTTTAAAATGGTCTAATTTCTTATAAGTCCTCCCTCTTTTGTCTCTTAATCAATTTTTTTAATTTTATTTATGCTCAATTTTCATCCAAGTAAACCCTAAACTTAACACACCAAGTCCCAATCAAACCTACTATTCAAGTCATCTACGATTCAGATCATATACAAACGTTGACCCTAAATTTAAATTATTATAATTTTATACATATTTTTATTTTTATGTGATATTAACCAAAATTTTAACATCACATTGTTACTTTTATGATTCAAACTTTGAACTCAAAAAATAATTTTACTCGTCATTAGATTAAACAACAAATTTTGACATTTTTCAAATTAATATTGATTAAAGAAATTAATGAGTATACTTTAAATATAAAAAGATTTGATTAAACATAAAAATAAAAATGTAATTATTTTAAAAAAATTAATGTCCTCTAATAATCCTATTTTTTAGTATTGTTACTATTATTTAGGAAGCTACTTGGATTAGGTACCTTATAAAAGGAAAAATAATATTATCTTTACTTCGTGGTGGGGCAGTGCAGACAGTTGTGCCTCAACTCATGTCTAGAAGCTGTCCGGGGCCAGATGGATCCGGGTCTAATCTAAATTTGGACACTAAATGTTCAATTTTATTGATATGAGCTCTTGTTAATTTAAATATCTTAATGTTTGATTAAATTTAGAATAATAGTCGGCATGGACAAGGAAAAGAACAATGAAAATAGTACACTGTTTTTTAAATAAAAGTGGTTAGTCTAATTAATAAGTGAAAATATTTAAAATTATAATAAGAGTTTATAATTGTCACCATAAATTAAATACATAATTTAGATATTTTCCTATAATATTGAATTTAATCACTTTTGATCATATAAGGATCATATATGAAAACGGTTAAAAACTCAACCAAGATACTCGAACAAAAATTATATACAAACAAATCTGATTGCATTAATAAACGAACCACAAAAGATAATTAAACTATTGAAAGTCTACCGAAAATTATAAATCAGAACCAAATGTCATGAGAAACTATTCACGAACGCAAAATCGCGTATCCAAATTTAATTCGAGGGTCCATAACAAGGAAGATCAATAGAATTACAAATAAGTACAATCTTGATCAGTTGTGTCGTCGTCAAATCCAACCTTGAGACAACATAAAATAAAAATAACGACCAAACAACCAAGAAATAATGAGAAAAACGTATCACAGAGATAGAGATAAACGAATCACAAATGCATAATTATTTTTATTTAAAAAACTAAAAAAAACAAAGAGAGAAGATAATCAGCGATCGACAACCATAATCAAAATCGATGATGTCATCGACTAATCAAAATTAAAGAAAAAAAAGTTGAATTGATCTATAGAAAACAATATAAACTCTAAAAAAAAGGAGAAGAAAATATCTAAAGTTATACCGAAATCAAAAAGAGTACAATGTTAAAAAATTATTTATAATATTTGATTAAATAATCAATTTGATATATAATTTTTGAAGTAATTTGACCATAATATTTTTTTTTTTGATAAAATAGTCAATGATTGAATAAAAAAATATTAATTGACTAGTGATCAGAGTTTATCACTAGTGTGAGAATGTTATATCACTTATTTCAACATATAACTTTTGAAATATGATATGTATCATATCATCACTCTCAACAAATAACATGTGCCACATCAATGATATACTTTGAATGTTATAAACTAACAATTTTTTATTTAATCAAAAAACATTTTAGTTTGAAATAAAACATTATAAATATTCCTTAAAAATGCAATTAAATAAAAATATTATAAAATTATGATGGTTTATACATATTTGAAGTATTTTATCCAAGAATTCACGCCTAACCGAAGCTCAAAATTAATTGAAGCCCGTACTACTATTTTCTGGAAAGCACAGCTAACACTAACAGCAACCGTCAGATAAAGACTTTGGCATTGAACTGCTGGGGAAATTGGATTTTATCTCCCAGTTCTCCAGGAAAGAAGAAGAAAACCCCTTTATTTCTCACTGGACTTATTTCTGTTCTCAAAACGCCGTTAGTTAAATATACACAAACAATCATTTCTCTCTTTCTTACTTATTTATTCATGGATGGCAACAATAAATAGTAATTTCTCACCAAAACCCCAATCTCTATTTTCCCAGATTCCAAACATTCATTTTTCAGTCTCTTGCTGCTAATTCCAAGTCCTAACATGAGCAGTTTCTATCCCTTGAAGCCATTTCTTTTCACTTTGTTCCTGCAAATCTTCATTCCCCCCGCATTTGCAGATAATTACCATAACAGTAACAATACGAATATTACTAACAATCCTTCGCCATCGCCGTCCCTACGACCCGGTTCTTCTTCATTCAAACCCAGCACAGCCGTGTTCATATTTCTCGCTGTTCTATCAGTTTTGTTTTGCGTCATCTTCCTTCTCTTACTCTATTCTAAGCGTTGCGGAACTGATAGTGACAATAACCCATTCGGTTATGCCCACGCCTCGTCATTGGTCTCTGTTGTTTCAGCTGGGAGAAACTCGGGGTTAAACCAGGTGGTGGTCGAGTCGCTTCCCATGTTCCGGTTCAGTTCTCTCAGAGGGCAAAAAGACGGTCTCGAGTGCGCCGTTTGCTTAACCAGATTCGAACCGAACGAGCTCCTACGACTCCTCCCTAAATGCAAACACGCGTTCCACGCCGAGTGTGTGGACACTTGGCTCGACGCGCATTCCACTTGCCCTCTCTGTCGTTACCGAGTCGACCCGGAAGACATTCTCTTAATACAAGACCAAGATCTGACGACCGTTTCTCCCCCTTCTTCCTCCTCGAATCGGCTTGAGGACATCGAGTCAGAGCCTTCGAGGACGCGACGAGTTTCGGGGAGGCACTCGTACGCCGCCGGAGAACGAACGGGTAGCAGAACGACGTCGTGTTGTAGAAAAGACGGGCTGCTGCTGGTGAGGGAAGACGAGAGGAAGAAGAGAGTGGAGCACCGGATAATAGTATCGGGTTCGGGTGGGGGAGCGGGAAATGGATTCCATCAAAGGTGGAGCGACGTACAGCCGTCAGATCTGTTGTATCTACGGTCAGAAATGATAATAAGTCAGAGTGGTAGATTGGGCATAGGATCAGTGGGTGCAGAGGGGGAAAATAATAATAAAAACATGGGAAGAGATGAGAATGGAAATGGAACGGGGAAGAATGGTTCAGAGGCATAGAGAGGCATTGGTAGAAGCGTAATAAATAATGGTGTCGGAATTCACGGGATTTATTAGTAGCTTTTCGAGGTTTTTTTTTTTAATTCTTTAGTTTTAAATTTTTTTTTTGGCTGCGTCACGGTCCGTCCGTGATTTTCTCATTAAATAACGGAGCCATTTCATTTATGACCCTTTTAACCCTACACTACATAGCTAGTAAATTTTTATTTAAAATTTTCACGCTTAATTATTTAAGTTCTCTTGTTTTATACTTTTATTCTTCAAACTATAATTTGATGCACGTTATCTGTTTTAATATAATTGTTAATATTCAATTTGTTGATAAATTAATTTACATTAAATATTATAAAGAATATGAAGATCAATCATAAGTAATAACCGAAGTCAATATCAATTATTAGAGATTATTTATATCGACAACGATGTTAATTAAGTTAAACTTGATTAATATCATGAATAACCTTTCAATCCTTTTCTAATCTAGTATATAAAAATATTTGTTGTCAATTTTTTTGTGTCATTGGAGTAATTTTTCTGTTGATTAAAACCTTTGATAGTTCATAAGTTATAATCTCTTGATATAATTGTTGACATATACATTTAATCTTTAAATATATTGTATAATAATTATATCTATTTACCATGCTAGTTTACGCACAATCATCATATTCTTAGATCTAACGCAAACACTAATATTCTTGACATAAACTTAAATTTTACTAGAAAAAATATCCTGAATGCTATTTTATTTATCTTAGATTGATATTATTCATCATTTTTAGATCACAACTCTCCATAGTATCATTAGATGTAATCCTCAACTTGAATTATGAGAGATTAATCATCTATAATCGTCACAATAAGAATTTTTCAATCGATATAAATTATTATATGTATTGTTGTACAATTCGAATTAAACAATTAAAACAAAACAATTCCTTGGAGTTAACTTGTACATCCTCTAAGTATTTAATTAAAAATTGTAAAAACTTGATGGAATTGTTAAATGGAGCATAATGTTTGCCACTGGTCTAATGAGGGTGGGAGGGGAAGGGTGCAGCAACAGAATCTGAGAGGATCGGCTTGAATTCGTTTGTACGTCGCAATCAGATGTGCCCATCAGTGGATCACAGGCTGTCCATATTATTGCTGCTCTGTCTCTGCCTTCGTACCTCAAACGAAAGGTATTTCTTTTAAACATGTTAAAAATTGTTACGATAGTGAAAAAAAGAAGGGAGAGTTGAATGTTCCATTATACACTGCACATTGATAGCTGCAGCACATGATATTCAAATCTCGAAGTGACACTTACTACTCAACCAACTTTTTCTTATGTTTTTACTTCTAGAAAATAGTAAGGTTGAGCAACAGATTAAAAAAAAATTGAAAAACCATTTTAATCAATACGGTTTAATCTGATTTGATATTTTTTTGATTTGATCAATTCAAATATCTGATTTCAGATTCATTTCATTTTTTCCGTATGAAATTCTTTATTATAAATCAAATTAAAATGGAAAAGAAAATAATGATATAATCAATTTTTAAAAAAAATATTTTTAGATAAACTTAAATAAATCAAATCTTACGATTAATAATATTGTTTATTTTATAAATTTAAACTTGTCTGTACTCAATTTATATTTAAAATTTGTTTTATTTAGATGTTGAATTTCAAAAATATGATTTTTTTATACTTCATCAAAACCTAAACAATAATATGTTAATACCCTAAAAAATATTTTTTATAATGATCTTAAAATAGGATAAAACCAGGCTCCAGTAATGCATTGACCCTGAAAAAGCCCAACAAAAGTAATAAATTAAGAAGGGAAAAATAAACACACTAAAATTACAAAGCCCCGAGGCTTAAATTAATCAGTGATTACATAAGCTTACAAGCATTAGTAAACAAATTATTATAATATTCATTTACATCTCAGAACCCCCCCCCCCAAAAAAAAAAGATGAAAATAAGAAAGAAGATAACAAGAATAATAATAATAATAAAAGATAAAAAAAAACTGTTTGTTTGGAAGTTTCTGGTAATGATGTCTTCCAATGTCATGTCCTCTTATCCTCCTATCTTTGAATACTGTCTTCAACATGCATCTACATGAATGGTCAAAGCTGCACAAAGAGCTGTATCAAATTCGCTACCATCTTACGATAATAATACTCGTATATCCTAGTCGCCTGCAACATAAGCCTTCTCTTCGTAGTATTTCTTTTCACTCTGCGTCTTCTTCGCGTTGCGTTTCTACATCGGAAGCGAGCACAGGAAATTAGAGGAATATATATAAAGCATACTAACAGAGATTATGTATTGAAGATCGTGTATTCATGGCATAGTTAAAGTGCTAACACAAAAGGATAGGTTGCATGTCTCATTCAAAAGATTTCAACAATATCCGATGTCGGATATAATAATCAGAAAACAAGTTCCTAGCAGGTAGTGTCATTCCGTAAAAAGGTGAACTGCTAATCAACTTGCATTAGTACTTATAGACGAGATCATAGAATAACAATAAATGTGAACACCAAAAACCATCCGGAAATAATACCATATAAGCCTCGTGATTGGCAACTATCCTTTGGGCTACGGAACTTGTGGTTATACTTTTAGGGCTTTCAAGCATTCGGAAAATTCCGATGCTATTAGGAACTGCGTATGGATCGGTTTCACCCTGTAGGAAGTGAAGTATTTTAAATCTAAATAGTATTAGTTGTAACAATGAAAAATGAAAAACCGAGGCAAGTCTGAAAACCTACAGGCAACAATGTGCAACTCTCTGCAATTGTCCCATGCACAACCAAAGAAATGTTGAAAGTTGTAATCTGTTCAAGATAAAGAAAGCAGCCTCAGAAATGCACAATAACACACACACACATATATATCTTATTTGTATCAGGGAGGGGAGGGGATTTGCTATGCTGGCAAAACCCAAATCATAAAGCAGTATGGTACAAGCATCTAACGAATGGACATGTTTTGGCATATAAGCTAGGATGCATTTATCCGGAACCAAAAGAATTGATAAAATGGGCCATGATAATTAGGAGTAGAACCAATCATGGTTTCCTGGGGGGGTGGAATTTGCATAGGCACACCAATATACACTTAAGAGAAGAAATTACATACCATGTCCTTTGTAACTCCCCAAGGTGCACCAATGATAACTTCATCGACATAACGACAAGCTAATACACTAAGAGTGCGCTCAAGTAAATGCATAACTGGGTAGGGCATTCCCCTTTGCTCACTGCAAGAAAGGAGATTCATAAATTATTTCTTGCATAGAAATCCTTGATACTAGATTTTGCATCAAAGCATTGCAATAGTAGGTGTAGACCCAATGTTAACTTTCATCCTTCCTGACTCAATTGTCCTAACAAAATTTAAACGGTAATAAACTAGACAGAAGGGCAAAAGGCATGACACAGATAAAGTACCTCACAATATTGTCTGTATGAATACCAACAAGCAAAAAGTCTCCAAGCTGCCTTGCCTTCTTGAGGATCTGAGTAGACATAAAAGATGGCTTAGGGACATGCCCATGGGCAAAATGGAATGAGTTGAAAAAGTTCTCTTACTAGAAAAAACAAGAGCCATTTAGCATAAATCATAGGTCTCAAATTTTAGTGAAACCTCTAAAATAATACGATTCTAAAGAGTTTATTTAAATTTCAATAAATGAATAAGACTATTCATTTATCAACAAATTAATATTTATTATTTTCCAAGTAATTTTATGTTTTCAATCCTAGTATATTAGTATTCTTTACATTCTTCACTAAACTGCACTTCAATATTACAACAAAGGACTAATGCACTTCAACAAAGAAAATGTGCTTCTAATAGTAATCTGTCATTTGATAATACGGGGTATTATTGCTTTCTAATACTTACCAAGTTAAAAATTATACAAAAACCTATTAACCACCATGCTGCTTCACTACATTGTTGGGGAATACTTATATCAAAATGAAGTACAGAATTTAGCAGCAGGGAAATCTGTTTCTATATCAGGAGTAAATTGTAATCCCCCCTTTCACCTCCCACAATCCCCTCTGCATCTGACACTAATAGGTCTTTGGATAACATTATATCATCAACCTAAATTATTGACTTGGTTGAGCTTCAGTAACACTCCCAACAGGATTTCCATCCTCCCATCTAAGATCACCAAGATTCAAATTTAAGCAGGGCTACTAAATGACTACCAAGATAAAACAATATCAGCTAGCTACCCTGTTCATATGTGCAGGAGCCAGAAGTCAAGCCAGTAAACAGAAACTAGCACAGGAATTACAACAATATGTACATGAACTGAGGCCATAACGAGACAATAACCGATGAATGCATATCTTACAGCGACACTAGAGGAAAAAAACTTGGTAAGATGAAAAGCCATCATCAAATTGTCCATATGTTGCATTTTTATGCCATCATAATAACATAACCAACATAAAAATAAGTAGAGTATAAAGCAAGTGAGTAATACCTCCACATGCCCTGCATGAAAGAGATCAAATGCCCCATCAATGTAGACAATACGAGCATTTGGTCCAGGACCCTGTGGAAAAACTGAATGAGACTGACAGGGAAAGAGAGCCAGGCATTGCACAAAATAATACTGCCATAAAGGGAGAAAGAAAGTAGAAAAAGAGCAGAATCTGCTCCACCACCACTCATACGCTTGTGGCCTTGTCACTCTTCCTCAACTCAGATAAATAAGAAAATAGCTCTTAACCCTTGTACAAATGTTTGTATGCCAATGGGTGAAACAGGCCGTTGCCTGTCAATCCATGTTCATACTTTTAAGTTCCCAACAAATTGTTTTAAACCAGCTCTCCAAAAATTCTTCCATGCAAATGATTTACACACACACACATATATGCATGCATAATAATCTACTAACTATCCAGCAAGCATTTTATTCAGCTTTTATGTTCATGATGATTACACTTCAATAGGAACTTGATTGTATTTATGCAACGCATCCTTAATGAAATAGATGGTGAGGGGATTATGAGTCACAGGGGCAGGTGGTCAATTTGGTCACAACAAGACAAATGCTATAGTAAATGATGAGTTTTGTCAGCCTACTTTAAAGAAAGATGTCATAAAATCCTATTGTGTAAT